ATAATGTATTTATAGTATGTGTGGTGAATGAATGAATAAATAGGGTTTATTAATCAGTAAAAAAGTCATAAAAACGATAATAATAATAAAAATCCGTTTTTATCTATATACTTACCCGATACCGTTAAGTGTTAAGTTTGATACATCAAAAAAGAAGTCTTGCTTCAAGTTTGCCATGACAACTGCAGCAACTTGCAGCAAGTTTAAATCAAACTTTCTAGTTTCAGTGTGACAAACTTGCACTACCTTTGACGTATCAAAGGTAGTGTACTACTCGCAAGTGTACTGGCGAGGTACCGACTCGAATACTTAGCAGGTACTCGCGTACTCGAGTACCTGAAATACAGGTTTCGAGGCAAATATTACTTTATGTTTACTAAGTTTATATTAATCTTTTGATCATACATAATTTATGGCCCATTAGTAGTGGTGTGCGGAATCAATTATCATTAATCGATTAATCGATTTTTCAAATAATCAGTCGATTATGATTTCCTAATCGACGATTAACAATCGATTATTTTTAAAAACATTAGCAATAGGAAAAGCTTAAAACGTTAGTATAGTACCTACTTACTTTACTTCGATGGCTCAGCAATCTATAGCGGATCGCGAGTGTGAATATTATTAGTAGATATTCTATTACCTTTTATGGCAACCCTGGAATACTCCCACGAACAAATAGGTAACTTTACTCTTTGATCGGGGAACTCCCGATGAATGAATGAGTGGATCTTACGGTTTTATTTTTACAAATACAAATTAGTCGTTTAATACCAAAATAATGTTTTTTACATTTTTTGTGTCTGTTTGTTACGGCTCAACTCTGAAACGGTTAGAATAATTTTGACGGGACTTTCATGGCAGATAGCTTATGTAATAAGGAATGAATAAAGTATTAAAAAAAAACGAAAGCACTTAAAAAGCTCTCCACTACATGGCGACTCTAGCAAATGTTGTTTTTTGCAGGAAACGAATGAACCAAAGACTGTCATTTCCGTTCCTTTAAACTAACATATTAAAAAACTGAAATTTGTAAAGTTCGTAACTTAAATTCCAGATAGCATGCTAACTTGGGGCAAGTTTGATTTTTCCTTGGATCTACATTGCTGCGTCAAATATACGACGCAAGTTTGTAACAATGTCGCTACTATATTGTTATGTTAAATATGAAGTTTGCGACAATATTGTTTGAATATTGCTATGACAAAGATACTTATATATAACACATTCATCATCTTCATAGGTGCCCGAATAGTTCTTAATCTGCAAATTAGATGGCGTTGTTCAATTAATGGATCGCAGTAACAGTTTATATTGTTAGATTGTATTAGTAATATGCCGTTTAATGTGATCTTATTAAGGGAATCGAATCCAACCGTTACAGTTAATTACTTTGGCTCTTAGGTTAGGCTATGTGCTGTGGTCTGAGTTTAAAGTCACAATTACTCTTGGAACAAAATTTTTCAATGATCAAAAGATTAATAAAAACTTAGATAAAGAAATGGGGGTGCCCTTTGCTTCGCCTCAAATTACAAATCCTAATTTAACAGTGCCGAACTGTATTGCCCTAAACTTATAAGGTACAATTATTGTTTAGTCTAAGAGTTGTTTTGGCACTATCATATTTTGGTCTCAGTATTGAAAGCCCTAATTTTAGAATTCCTAATATGAAATCCACTAAAATATGTTGGTATATCTTCATTTCGCTTAAATATTAAAAGCTCTCGTTTTAGCATTTCTAATCTAAAATGTGCAAAAAAAAAACAATAGGGATGATGACTGGGTAAAAAAAATGCAATTCTATTTAGTCCATCAGTCAGATAATAGAAAAATATTAGATACGTATTTTTTTTACTTCAATTTAACAAGAAATAGCTTAGATAACAGGCATTAAAGTTGAGGAGTGGGGGCTCGCTACGTCACAGTTGAGTAGAAAACGTACTCTAACGTGACGTCATGCGAAATTTCAACTCAATGTAACGCCGTAATTTTATGATTACGAAAAAATAAAAAAATACGTGTTTAATATTTTTTAACTGTCTACCTGACGGACAAACAAACAAAAATTAGTCATCATCCCTATTGGCTTGAAAAACGAATCGCAGCAAAACCGACACTGCCGTAAAACCGACATCACGTAGTCTTGTTTGTCCTACTCCTAGAGTGTAATTTAAGCCCGCGTAGGCGCGGAGGGGCGAGGTGGCCCGCGAGCTGAGGAGCAGGTGGTTTTAACGACCACCGCCGCGACTGAGGCTGGTGGGCGAAAATCATCTGCAACGATAAGTTCGCGTGGGATCACCGGAGCTGTTTTAATTTTGTGCGCATTACTATTTAGTAATTGCGAGGAGTAGGGATAACAAATTGTTCCGCCTAATGTCACATTTGGTAAGTTACAATACGGCGATAAAAAGTTACGCGAAATGATATTAGATTAAACATCATTAGGAATATTAAAATTGTGCGAAAAAAAATTAGTCTGACCGTTTACGTGCCAAAGCCAATAAGGAGTACAAAAAATTAGGCGACCCAATATACACCCTAAAGAAATATTTGCCTCGGAACCTGTATTCCAGGTACTCGACCACCCGTGGTGTACCTACGTGGTGACCACCGTGCTAGGTATTTGAGTCAGTACATAGCTCTTGCTTGCTCTAAATATAACTTGCTCTACCTTTGATACGTCAAAGGTAGTGCAAGTTTATCACGCTGAAACTAGACAGTTTACTTGCTGAAAGTTGCTGCAGTTTTCATGGCAAACGTGAAGCATGTCTTCTTTGCATTTTGCATGAAATTTTGCATGAACAATGCTGGTATAGTAAACATTGTCGTAAAATTGATTTTTAACTATTATATTTATAAACTTGGATGGCTTTAAAATACTGTGGAATTAATCTGAAATCATTAATAAACTTTTGGGGTAAAAGTATTTAATAATCGTTGACATTAATCGATTACGAGTAATACTATAATCAATGTGTATAATAATCGAATGGGCACATCATTACCCATTAGCGATTGTGACTTTCGACTCAGGCCACCCACAGCACAGAACCTAGCCTAAGAGTCAAAGAAGTTAAGTTAACTGGAACGGTTAGTTTCGAATCCCATATTAAGATCACATTAAACGGCATATTACTTATACAATCTAACAATATAAACTGATACCGCGATGCATTAAATAAACAGCGCAATCTAGTTTGCAGACTTAGAACTATTTGGGCACCTATGAGGATGATGGGTGTGTTACAAACACAGACATCTGTGGTTACAAATAAGTTTCTTTATCATAACAATATTCAAACAATATTGTCGCAAACTTGAAACTTCATATTTAACATAACAATATTGCAGCGACATTGTCACGAACTTGCCTCGTGTATTTAACGCAGCAATTTAGAATCAAAGAAAAACCAAACTTGCCCCAAGTTAGCATGCTATCTGGGATGTAACAGACTAGACTGAATTGATTTATATATTAATATCGTTCGACATTTGGATGTATAATTGCACATATGGAAATACTGCACATAGATAAACAAGCTGAATTCTGCACTCCGCTTTTTATTCTTCATTTCAAACCTTAAATCGGATTGATCGAGTTAATTGAAGTTACGAGCAACCAATAAGATGGCTCATCACTAATGTTGACATATAAACCAAACATCGTTTCTTTACACGTAACATAATTAATAATTTACGATTTAAATAAATTAAAATTAAAGTGAAAGTTGGACTTTATTTATAAGAAACACGAAATGATGTATAGTTATAAATTTTCGGTTCTCAATTTACTTTTATTAAGTTAGAAAGAAAATTTGAATGAACATCATACACAATTATCCAACAATCAATAGCTAGTGATTTATTAACATAACATCTTATTTGATTTCAAGAACTAATTTTTATTTCTTTAATACTTCCTCAGTATATTGTTTAAATTAAAGTTAATTTATTTCTACATGTAAAATGAAATGAATTCACGTGCTGTCACTATTTGTGTTGGTTCATAAAAGACTTTGGAAGACTTTATTTTCTTCCGTTGGTGTTGCCACCTTATAGACTAAGTACATAACATACAATGTCACAGTAAGACTAATTAAACCGATATTTTTTTATTAAGCAGCATCCGTTTCGGACAACTGATATCATTTTATTTTTTAGTTCTGTTCTCTGAGTAAAATTATTTTTTTTTAATTTAAAACCATATTTTGTAATTACATTTTACAATATAACAAGTTTATTCTAATCATAAATAGATTGTGGCTCAATTTCCGAGCCGCAGCTTAAAAATAATAATTCGCATGTTTCTGTCTTAATTTAGTGCTAAGAATACTGATTGCAGCAATGTAGAAAAATATAATTTTAGGCTGTTATCTATAAATTCTTTTGCTATTAAATAAAATGCCAAAACAACTTGATATAGGGATGTAACATCATATTAAAATGTTGATTATTTTACATAATCGATATTTTAGTTTGATGTGTATATTTTTTGGAAACATTAAATAAATTATGTTTGTTAAAAAAAAACATTATTTGATTTAAGTATAGATTTTCCGTAATTTGCAAACCTATTGTATTTCTTAATACGAATTGATATAACTCTACAATTTATAAATATTTGCCAATTTAACAATTTATTAAAATAAATAAAAAACAGATAACAAAAGTTTGTCTGATTATTATTTATTTTTTTATGTTTTAAAATTAAAAAGCAAAATAATTGTTTGACTGCAGAACTATTTTGATACGAATTTGATATCTGAAAATAGATATCGAAAATATCGCGGGTTAAAAATATCGCTTATTTATAACGATTTTTTTAGAAAAAATATCGATGTTTTGATATATCGATAGTGTTTCTTCAATCCTAATATATACCTATCTTTCATTCATTTCATTTTCATTTTACATGTAGAAATTAATTTATTTACTTGACATTGGCAGAATTGTGTAATAAAAGAAGAAGGAGAATCAGAATTCGTATCCACTCATGTGTCCGAATTCATATAATTTAGTGAAGAAATTCTATTGACTCCATTTTTTTGTAAAATAATACAAAAGTGCTAAAATCAAAAAACATACTAAGTGAGGTGTTTTATTAACTGGAAGCATAGCTACATTTTTCTTATTATTTTTAAATAAAAACCATTCGAAATGGCACAACGCGAAAGACGCTCTAATGCTGGTAATCGTATGGCCAAGTTATTAGATGATGAAGAAGAAGACGATTTCTATAAAACAACTTATGGTGGCTTTCAAGAAGTAGAAGAGGATAACGATTATGTGTAAGTTTTTAACAATACTTTTTCCAATAACTCCCAATGACACAATTTTAATTGAATTATTTTGTTCAGAAAGAAGTATAATTTTTAATTTTAAAACTGTTAGATTGATCTTGTATCACAATAATATTATTTTGCATCAAAATTACCAAGTACACATTAAATTCATGGCATAATGTATGTTTTGTAATGTTTTGATGTACTGGTGATGGTAAAATTAAAATACTGTGATGGTTTTGTGAATGCGGTACAGTCTCATTAAAAACAACACCCCTTAATCCCCTAATGGTCAGTGCACAAACATCCATTAAGATTAAATGACACATTTAAGCTATAATAGATATCAATTTTGAATCAATAATGTTGCTTTAAACTTATGACAGTTATAATGGATGTTTGTGCAGGGTGGTAAATCTCTTATTTTTTACATCATCTGTCTTGCAGACAAGAAAAAGAAGCTGAAGATGTTGTAGATTCTGATTTTGATATTGATGAAAATGATGATCCAGTTTCTGATCAAGAGACAGATGATAAACAGAAAAGGAAAGTTGGCACCAAGTCATATAAGGTATGATAATGCTTATCAATCAATTGAAAAATGAATTAGGTGCTTGTATTTATTGTTTCAATATTACAAATGGAAAGATACTTTATAGTGAAACACCTTGTTGCACAAACATCTATTAAGGTTTGATGACAACTTTAAGCTCTATTGAATGTTCTAAATAACAATAATGTATTGGTAATGATGGTTTGAACTAATGACTATTTTAATGGATGTTTTGTGTAGCTCAGTATAAGTGATAAGACTGTCATAATGTATGTATAAATTAAATTAAACTTATACAGCAATTAAAATGCTTAAATGTGAAAGCGATGTACTGGAAGCATTTTTCTTTCAATGCAACTTTCAATATGAACTAAACCTCCTTTTATAATAGGTTGGTTATGGTCTTGGGCAGCTCAATCAGTAACAGCAGTCCTGATATTTTATAATATTATGGCTTGTAATTCTGTCTAGACTACACATTAGAGTCTCACATTATTTATTGGAAAAGTTCTTAAAGAATGTTTCATACAAAAGTGATCTTATATGCATACCCAAGTGAGTGACCGTTGCTGGGAACAGATCCCGCATCTGCACCTTGTGATGGAGGCCTGCCAGTAGTAGTAGTAAATAATTAAAAAAATAATAAAATTTGTTACATTTGAAATGAAATGAAATGAAAGACCATCCAAAAAAAATTTTTCCCCTACCACTTGTTCAGGACGTCTTTTAGCTGACAAGAAGAACAAGCGAAAGAAACTTACCATCTCTTTATCATAAGTAATGACATTTACATAAATCATGTCATTACAAAAATAATATGTATTATCACAATAATAAATACAACTTTCAAAGTCTGTAGGACATAGTTTGAAAATGTTATTACGAAAAAGATAAATGTGCAACGCTAGCTGCGAAAAAATATTGCCATATATGGAACTAGTACAGTTTCTGTGAGAGTAGCACAAATTTGTTTTTTTAAGTGTTTTCGGTCTGCATATTTTGATGACTGTTATGGATAAAATGGATGCCATTTTTGTGAAACTGAAGAACTGTGGATTGACCTTAAAACAATTGAAAAATGCTGGATATACAAGAAAACTTTGGATATTTGGGTATCTCATGAGGGTATATAACACGCTCAACTAAAAACTATGATAACTAATTTAACGAAATAAACTTTAAAATACGCATTCGCAAACCGAGATGGAAAGTTTTTTGCCACTGGTCGGCCTCATGCCTCGCTCATATCAAAGAAGCCGCGATCATTCGTTCTTCAGTTCTTCCTACTGAATATTCGAGTGTTGCAACTTTTTTTACCAAATTCCCAAAATTGTTTTAGAAATGAAATCTGCAATTGAATGGATTGTGCATTACGTGTTCGATCAAATTTATGTTTTAACATAGTGAATTATTACAAGAACTGATATCGTAAGTAATTTTTAATAATACCGAAATAAACCAAATGAAAATTGTCTGAAAGTGTACGCTATACTAAATTATTTTTATGACAAAATAAGTAAAATGTTTGAAAGAATGTTGTGCATCATTAATAATTGTTTTCACCGTATCCTAATAAATAAAAGTAAGACAGAGAAATTATTATCCGGGTACCGTTTTTGTTAACCGATTGGCAGGAACATTGGCTAACGTAACTTAACCAACCTTATTTGCGACGCTCTTAACTTATTGTTATACGAATAAATTTTTAAAAGTGATTAATGTTATTTCAATAACATCAACTTCAATAAAAAAAAATATTTTAATAATACCATGTAATCAAAAATATTAAAAAGATAGATAGATATTTAAAAGATAGCTTACCTTTCTTTAATATCATACAATTTTTATGGGATTTATCCCGTAAAAAAATTACCCAATTAAGGGAAAAAATTAGAGCTGGCAGCACGTGTAGCGGCAGCATGTCTCAGAAACCGGAAGCGGACGGACCGGAAAAGTGAAGCGGCATCTTTTATAAACACACTCACCGGTCACTGCGGTTCGCAATGATATCTAGGGCTGCCACTCATTTCACTTAGCAACTTCAATAGTAATTAATTATGTGTTTAGATTTATAAATAAAGTTTGTCGTAAAAGTACTAAGTGAAGTTTTACAATTCAACATCGCGTTTAATCATGAATAACCCGATAGGATTATACTATTGGGTTAGTCATGCAAAGTAAGTATTTATTAAGAGAAACAACTATTCCGCTTTTTTATAGTTTTCAAATTAAAACAAGAGAAATAATTATGCTAAAATTGAATCGGGAAAAAATTCAATTGGGACTCCCAATAGTTTTTCATAAACTTTACTTTTTTAATGATTTCACACACACACACACACACACTTCTGGAGAAATGAAGTTTCTTATACATTTAGATTTTTATGAAATAAAAATGATTTAACACCTTCCCCTCATTTTAATGAAATGTATTTATCTGATCTTTTTGTGTTTTATAAAACCTAAATAAATTACTATGCGAGTTAAAAGATATCGTTATTAGTTACATGCTCTGAATAAAATCAAATGATTTTTGTCTTAAACTTTTCTGCGCTAACGTAAAAAAAACAAAACTTTTAAAGACAAGTAAATAAAAAAGTGCACTTATCAAAATCATGTAATGTAAGTTTTATTTTTAAAAATTTACAAAGATAAAAATTTTGTAAATACTAGAGTTACTAAACCGTTTTGAAATGTTTAGTCGAAACAAATGTTTTCCAGAAGAACATGCATTTTATCTAGTAGGTTATTCAAAAACGATATTTACTCATTAAAAAGTGGCACCACTTAACACGGAAACACTACCGATTGATTTTGCTTTACACTACTAGATGGCGCTGCATCTATCATTCTCATTCGCTATATCATCAAAACCGCCGCGATTTGCCGCTAGATGTATCTAGAAGTTTACGAGCTTAGCCTGAAGTATCTTCGCTCTCGTTTTTACTTATTGTTATTGCGTGAAACGGAATGATCATCAATAAATAACAATTTGAAAAAATAACAAAACGCCGTTTTAAAACTACTTTTAGTAATTGCGTTTTCATTGCATTTTCTTAATAAAACACAGGAAAATGGGTACCTAAACTAGCAACGTAGAGAACTAAGAGCTTTTCGTCGCTAGATGTCGCTGAAGTTTCTCACTCGTATCTTCTGTCTCTTTTCATTCTACTAGTGGTGAAGGAAAGAGAATGAAAGTGCCCTTTGAACGTACCAAAGGTTATTGAACTCTCGGGGTCGTCTACCGCCGATCAGCTGATTTTTTCGAGTTTTAATTACATTGCGTTTTTATGGAAAAACAATAAATAGACAAATTTATTGATAAAAATAATAATACTTAACTTATTTTACATCGCTAAAAATAAAAAAAATAAAAATAACATATTTTTTTTGAAAAATAAAGTAATAATTTTTTCATTGCAATGTATCCAGAATCACTTACTCTATCACTGCTACTCTACACACTTATTTTCGTTTTCGGAAGCGTTCCCCTAACACCCAGTATATATGTTTTTTAAAATTTTTTCATCTATACGGAGCACGGACGACGGAGGACGGAGTCACGCGAAGTGTGCCCGTTGCGTGCATCCGCCAGTTTAGGCCCTAAGGTTTATAATTATCAATTTATTTACAGGACCCTAACAGAAAAAGGAAAGGAACTTCAGAAAAGACGAAAAAAATAGTTGTTAAAAAACCGAGGGAGACAAAGATAAAGGAAGATAAATTTGAAAAGACTGAAAAGATTGATAGTTCGTTTGATATTTCTATAGGTAAATACCTACATTAATATTTTTGACGAAATTAATTAATTTATTGCAATAGACTCAAAATTTAATTTTGCATGGAATGATTTTATTTTAGCATTGGGCAAGGAATAGTTAGTTTTGAATATTAAATTTATTTTTGGATTTAACTTATCATATAAATAAATGATTGAAATATATGTGTATATCTATACAATTAAAATATTTAAAAAATTGTCTACACCCCTATTTTATTCTTCTGTAGAAATCATGACTACAGATGTAGGTATTGTTATTTCATTTACAGAATTATAATATTCTGTTTTTTTTTAAAAGAACAGAATTTAAAATTCAGGAAAGTGAGGAATAATGCTTACTTTTCTTAAAAGCTACAACCTCCTCCCAACTTCAACAGAACTTTCTTTAATAATTAAACACCCTTTTGAAATTTGAATAAGTATTATTTCACACTTTGAAGTTTGAAGTCTTAAAAAACAAAAATTCTCATCTTGCTACTAAAATAACATTTATTATTATTTCATAGAACGTAAATCGATAAGGCAAAGTACAGCTGTAAAGTCAGCGGAGACACAAGAAAGAATCAAGATTCGATCTGAGTTGAAGAAGAAAAAACCAAAGAAAGTAGAAGAGAAGATGCCAACACAGGAGGAACTTCTCGAGGAAGCTATACTTACTGAAAAGGAGAATCTAAAGAGTTTAGGTATGTCGTTCTTATATTTATGGTATAAACACCCAGTTTCTGAATTGAGTAAAGTACATCTCAACTGATTATTGTCAATAACTTAAGTGTTTTTAAGTTCGTAAGTCAAAATCCTAGTTTTATCAAACTGTTTTCAATGGATAATTTAAAAAAAAGAGCGAAAATCTGTTTAAGTGACTTAACTACAGTTTGAAACTTTAAAGTCTCAATTCAGAAACTGGGTGTAAGGCTTGTGTATTCTATTAAAACAAATTCTACATAATTTAATATTAGTAATTCAATAGTTACTTTAAAAAATAGTTTTTTCTGACGAAAGTTATTTATATGTTACTTTTAAATAAGATGGGATCTCAGGGTAAATCAGGTTATCTTTTAAGTAAGTATCTTTTATGTATTTATAATTAAATATTTTGTATTATTGCATATTGTGTTGTATATAATGTTTCCATGTTTTTTTGCAAATAAATTTATTCAATTCTATTCCATAAATTGTGGTATGTGTAACTAATTGCTATAACATGACTAATGTTTAAGTACGAAGTATTTTATTTTACTACATTGTTATTATTACATTCTAGTACATTGTTGTATTTTAAGAAACTTAACAAGATGAGTTTACTAATTTGTACATGATGTGACAACCGAGAGTCACTAAGCGTGGAATTTCGCGTTATGGAAAACGGTTCTCATACCTACAACAGTTTGGGAAGCCCAGATTTTGATGTAAGGTTATAATTTCTTCCGTAGCCGAGTGGTTCGCATGCCGGTTTCGCATCTCTGAGGTCCTGGGTTCGATTCCCGGTCGGGTCAACGTAGAAAATGCTCTTTTCTATATTGTCTCGGGTCTGGGTGTTGTGGTACCTTCGTTGTCTCAGCTAATCCATAATACGGGAACTTTAGCTACTCACCTTGGAATCTGAGCAATGTATGTGTGGTTGTTTAATATTTATTTATATTTATTATTATTAGAAAATTATTTTATCTTTATGAACTCATGAATAATGCTTTGTTTTTGTTATAGAAAGATTTGAGCAAATCGAAATGGAAAGGAAGAAGATACGACCCACCAAGAAGACTATAACAGGACCGGTTATAAGGTAATAAACTAAGGGTCGGTGCATATCTGACGGAAATTGCGTCGCGTCTCGTAGGTATAGGAACTTTGTGATGAAATGATGCAACTACATCGTGTTTGGGCTCGTTTGATCCGTCTTTATGAGGACTCTGGTACTGGATGCTTTCTAGACCAAAGTTTGGTGATGATAGAGCTGGAAAGTGGTCATAGGAACTCTGCAATGAAATATCGTAACTGAATCTTGTTTGGGCTCTTTAGATCCTGAGAACAACATATTGAGACAAAAAAAAAAGCAAAAATATATATATATTTATAAACAAGTTTTTATTTGTGCGCACTATAAAACCTTAATAAATTCTAAATATTTAAAGTATTTATAATCAAAGTTTTCTCTAATGGTTATTGACTTGAAACGCTTGTAGCGCATAAAATATATTTGTATTTCCTCGTCCCCAATTTCATTAGGCTATGTCTTAATGGTTGTCTAATTGATATATTATTATTTGTGTAAATTATTGGAATATTTTATATGTTGTTTTAAATTAATTACAAAGAGTACTGCGAGTAGGTTTTTTGTACACTGAATTTATAAATATATTATTATTGTATTTGATCAATTTTGTATTCATAATGCTATACAATTGAGCGAAGCGATGGCTGGCTCATGCGTCATGCTCAGGAACGGGTGCTGCCAGTGGAGATGAGTCTGCTCTAAACCACGTAACTTCGCCCATTTTTTTTATAATGAATGTTATATATTGATTTGTTAATTAATGTATATGAATCGGCATATTAATAACTTATCGAAAATATCTCTCTTATTTCTAATATTGTAATGGAATGTGACTTCATATTCTAATGAAGTCACTTTTCAATAAGACTCTCTGTGTGAAATAAAACAGGGAGAAAAAAGTAGCCCTTACCGAGTTTCTTGCCGGTTCTTCTCAGTACAAAGTCTCCCGCCGTAGTTTTGCGAACCGATGGCGTAGTTTTCGACTTCCACAAGGGCTCTGTAAAAACCATAAAATAATTAAACAATTTTGATGCGCACTGAGATGGGTCTCGGACCCATGACCTTCCGCAATATAATAATTGGAACAATTTTTCATGTATATCGAAAGTTTAAATATTTGTAAAAATATATCTTTCGGCTGTTTCAGTAAGCGGCCATCCAAAAATTAAATTACGTCACACAAAATTCAGGATTTTTCCCCCCCTCCCCCCCCCCTCCTGTCACCTATTTATCTGTATAAATTCTACTAAATATTGTTCAAATGTTACAGTTCCTCGACCCCCCCCCCACCCTAAAGTGTGACGTAATTTATGGATGACCCCTAACTTGATCGGTTTCATTTCAAGGTATCATTCTTTTGCGGTGCCCGTACCGATCACAGACGACGACAGGACCAGTTTAACGCCAATAGCTGATATATCGCTCAGTGATATTATCAAAAGTGAAGAAGGTAGGTAATTTGCTTTATAACTTAAAAAGATTTGCAGTAGACGCACTGTATATATTAAATATTTATTTAAATTTGCATATTAAAACACTAATAAATTTTTAATAGCCATAATTACTGAAATCAAACCTTTTAAAGTTTAAAAGTCGATAATTGTAACGAAATTCGAACTTTTTTTTTTAAAATAAGGATTGAATAAATATTTTTTTAAATCGAAATATGTATTCGGCAGTCATTTGTCAATTTTTTTATTATTGTTGTAACAATAAAATTTAGCTATAATAATAAACTCATTAATATGGAGTTTCTGTAAATATATTTTTTTATTACCACATCACTAAAAATTTCAAATCCCAAATGTCGCCGTACCCATGCTATGTGGACTATAGAAAGGTCCTCCATATTTATTTCACGAGCTGAATAAATATAGTAAACACAAGCAAAAATAAGTATAACGAGTACTTGAGAATTTAAAATCTCTGGTTGCTCAATAAGTAGCGCAATCGCACGGTTAGCGAAAGGTTGGGGGTTCGAGAGATTTAAAATGTTTTTCTTTATGAAAATAACATATCTGAAAATATTTATCGTTCTAAAGCTTTCCTCACATCGAGCGTTGTCAATGATGTGTCGATGTCCGAGGCCAAACTTGAATCGCCCGATGACGAGAAAGAAGAGAAAGCCACCAAATTGGACATAGACGTCATCGGAGTTGATGAAGAATTGGACATCGCAAAGGTGGCGTAAGTAAACCAGAGTTCTACTCCTAGATATATTCTATGTGGTTACGATTGAACGACTGAAAACTTGTTATCAGATGGCTGATTAAAATATCGTTTCGATCTTCATGTTTTATAAGGCACGTCATATTTAAACCATTTGACCTGCCCCCTAATTGTCTAATTTTAAATCTATTGCAATCGCTTTCAGTTTGAAAGGTGTTGCACAACCATTGCCGCATAATACAAATACTTTTTTTTCAACTCTCTTCAGAAACAAGCAATGGTTATACTACATCTTTCAAACTGAAAGCGATTGCAATAGATTTAAAATTAGACAATTAGGGGGCTGCTTACTTTTATTAATATGTCCTTGCTCAGAAATTTTAATGAAAAACTCAACACATATTCTACACCGTCTAGATTCTTGGTTTCTACCTGGGTGCTAATTTTTTTTGTTTTTTTTTTTTTTTTTTAATAACATACATTGTTCAGATTCCAAGATGAGTAATCAAAGCCCCCGTATTATGGAGTATCTGAGACAACGAAAGTAACACAACACCCAGACCCGACACAATATAGAAAAGTTCATTTTCTACATTGACCCGACCGGGGATCGAACCCGGGACCTCAGAGATGGCGACACCTTGAAACCGATTTTTCAGAGCGATTGGGATAGAAGTTTATGGAATCACTTTCGCATTCGCTTTTGAAACATGTGATGTTTGAATAAACAAGAAATTTAATTAAAACTTATCTATGAGCATACAACACTTTCGTTTGACATTTTTCAGAGATATTTGCGTCGAACACTTGTCTTAGATAATTCCAGTTAACGTTAAATTACCGATATCGTTCATTCAATGTTTTCAAAAAGTTTCGATTGCAATACGATGGATTTTGTAGATTAGAAAATGAGCCCCCAGGACTCTATGGCGGTCTTGTCTCGACCAGGGGTGAGACTGCCTAATTTTCTAGCTATAACTCAAGCCATAGAACACGATATCTTAGCGACTGTTATGACGATATTTCGTTTCATTGTTCTATTTTGACATGTCTTTTGGTTGAGAAAATTGGGATAAATTACTAACGACCGGTTCCTGAATTAAGAAAAGTACAAATCTCAACTGATTATTCTCAATAACTTTAGTTTTTTCCGTTTCACGTGGCACGAAGTCCTAGTTTTATCAAACTGCTATCAACTGATCACTAAAACATTAAAATCAGAAAGGAAAACCTGTTAAAGTGACGCTTGAAATGGCTTAAGTACAGTTTGAGACGCGCTTAACTTTAGATTCTCAATTCAGAAACCCGGTGTAAGTTGGAAACACTGCTGTAAAATCCAAATTCACATTTTTTATAATCCGTTCGTCGTTATTATAGTACATGGGAAAGTAGTAAGGACATGGTTAAGCAACTTTCGCAAGGTTCCGTTGCCGAGTGTCGTTGGTCCTCGCTGCTTATATAGTCGTTAATACCCTCCAATTTGCCTTACCACCAGATAACCTCCAATAGATGGCGTATGAAAGACAGCAAGCTGTAGCCAAGCATCTATGATTTTACATAGATCTTTTTAACAAAGTAGTAATACACATATGCGAATTCTGAGTTGCTTTCAAGTGTTACTTTGAATATACTTCGACGAGATTTTTCTTAATAATGAAGCACTACAGTGTCAAATGGTGTAGAAAAATCCAGAACATCTAATTGCAAGAAGGGTGGTATTTTTGTATTTATATTTCTCGGTGTTCAAGTACAATTAAATGTAACTTTATAAAAATGCAGCACGCGTTGATGTCTTCTTGAAACCCATCTCTTTCTCTCATTACTAAATTAGTATATTCATTTCATTCTGACAAAGATACGTGTAACTCTAGTGGACGTAAAAGGGCTTATGATGATGGAAGTAGTGAAATGAAACGAAATAGCGCTATAATATCGCTAAGATGTCGTAGTTAGTTATAACTAACAGCCAGTTGCACAAACATCCATTGTAATTGTCTTTAAATTAAAGTGACATTACACATACTAATTTGAAATTCATTAGAGCCTAAAGGCGTCATTAAACCTTAATGGACGATTATGCAATTGACCGTAAAGGAGTCAGGCGGTCGATCTGCTGATCTTCACATATTTACTAGTATTACAAATATAGTAGTAGAGAACAGAGTAGTGTTATGTTGTCTGATATTTATTTATTTATTTATTTCTTTCAATACTTTCAGAAAAGAAGAAAAGCCTACCAAATTAAATAAAAGTAACACAAATTACTACGAGAGGACTCTCCTTTCCTTCGAGAATGATATAAAAGATGAAGCTTTCAACGCATGCTTCCCGCAGAAGCAGCCTAGGAGAAGACGGGAAATGCTTTGTGCTGTTACAAAGTATGTTCTGTTTGATATTTGAATATTAAAAAAAAAAAATTAAATACAATTACAGACAACAGAATAGTAAACATACAAATAGATAACAAATCTTACATTAAATTAATATTTAGTATATCTGTACTCAATTACAAAAGGGTACTCTACTCTGTTTGAAATAATTGTAACTGTTTATTTTAATTTAAAAAACATAAAACTAATATTTAGGGAAAATAAACACGTTTTACTGTCTTAAAATTAAATCAAAATGTAAACGTTTTTCTACCCGCAAAAACGCTGTCATGACGTCATTCTGATATGTACACAAAACGGATGCATAGAGTATAAAAATTAAAAGATATTATAAAACAAGAATAATGCCATCTAACGATCGATTACGAAATAAAATATATAAATGAGCCAAGGACAGCGCCATCTAGGAATTTGATTTATAATTAATAGACATATCTTCAAGACTAGTATTGCAAATACCGAAAATATTAAAAATATTTAAAGTTGTTATTAAAGTTTAAATAAAAAATTGTTACCAAATTACCTATGCCTTTGATATTTATTTTTCAGGAGACCAGCTCGTTACATAGATCCAATAACCAAATTGCCATATCGAAGCGTGGATGCCTTCAGAATAATAAGAGAAGCGTATTATCAACAGTTGGAGGCTAGAGGGGACAAAAATGATCCTCAAACATCTGCTTGGCTGCAATGGCGTAGAGCTGACACCACATCTACCTATGTGCAAATACATATCAAGTGAAATTAGACTTTATTAGCCGTATAATAGAGGTCAATTTGAATATTATGAACTCAAGAATTTGGACGTGTTGGGTGATTTATTAAGACATTTATTATTATTGATTTAAATAAAATAATTGCCCTCGAAATATCAGAATTTACATATTGTATCAGTACAGTTTTAAATTGAATCCTAATAACTGATTCCTATATTTTTAGAAATAATTCTTTATCAAATACTCTTGATGACAAATGCTTAAAAAAACACTTTGTTCCTTATATCTGATTTTTTTTTTGAGAATTTTTCATTAAGAATATTTTCAGTATAGCATTGTGAATGCAAAATTCGATCAAATATAATAATTTTCTGTATCTAAAATTTTACAGCTTGTAATAGGGATGATGACAAATTTTTGTTTGTTTGTCCGTCAGGTAGAGTTTAAAAAAATATTAAACACGTATTTTTTTATTTTTTCATAATCATAAAATTACGGCGTTACTTTGACTTGAAATTTCGCATGACGTCACGTTAGAGTACGTTTTCTACCCAACTGTGACGTAGCGAGCCCCCACTCCTCAACTTTAATGCCTGTTATCTAAGCAATTTCTTGTTAAATTGAAGTAAAAAAAAATACGTATCTAATATTTTTCTATTATCTGACTGACGGACTAAATAGAATTGGATTTCTTTTACCCAGTCATCATCCCTATTGTAGTCTTAAGATTAAATATAAATAATTCTAGTACTTAAGTTGTTTCAATTCATTATGTGGAAGCAAATAAACGGTAAGTATTGATAATTAATTTATTTAAGAATAAATAGTTACAATACAAATAGTTCCTTAAAATATAATTAGATTCAATTTCTGTACAAATGTACAAGTATTTTTTTTTAAATCTATTATGACAACACGTGAAGAGAACAGTTGAAATAAGTTGCTAAAATATTACACACGATCTTTGACACTGTTACTTGCTAATGTTCAACATTTACTGGACATAATTCTATAAAAACTAAGAATCAATTAGAATAACATCTGTACAATAGGTACATAACTGCGGCTGTGAAATTAGTTATGTCATACGCATTTTCAAAGTTATTTGCCGCGTGTTGTATTATATTCTACTCTTAAGATTTTAAAGATTTACTGTGAATGCAGGATTCAATCTTATATCTGGCACACTATTTCTTCTAGGTTTCTTGTTTATGATTTCCTTGAGACTTATAAGCCCAGACGCTTTCGCATCTATTCTAGAATGATATTTGGACGGATTAGTTGTAGGCAAATAAGGATATTCACTCAGGTAAGTCTGAGCGTTTTTTATTTGATTTTCTTTAGCGAATTCGTTTAGTTGCGATATTGCGATATCATAAGGACTATATTTCTTATCTGTAAGGTTTTCCATTGATCTAAACGTTTCGAGAACAGCTTTTTTGTGTGGAATACCTCTTAAGCTTCCTTGGCGGCTCAATCTACCTTCCATAACGTCGGTGAATAAATCTTCAACATTAAACTTTTCAGATATTTTTACGAGCTTAGAAGCACCAGCGTCTGCTTCTGTTTTATCTTGGAATTGTTGCCAAATTTTTGATATTTCAGATGACGGCATCGAATGAGATTTGATGTTTTTTTTTACCCTTTTCTGCGGCCGTTTATTTGTAAGCTCTGTGGGCGATTTCTTTCCTAATAATATTTCACATTCGTTTAATTTGCGTGGCTTTTTTGGCTCTACTAGTTCTTCTAATGATTGAAAATATTGTTTCGCCATTTTGAATCGAGATCTATAGTCTGTTTGAGCTGTCTCGTGCTCTGGTGTTGGTGATTTAGATAAATTGTCAGAACAATTATCTATGATCTCTAATTCTATATCGGATAAGCTTAAAAATGTGCTTTCTTGATTATCTGTGGTTTCTACGCCGTTTGATTCGTTGTCCGTTTTAAAGTCTGTATTTAAACTACTAATGCTTTCATAGCTCTTATTTATTTCATGTATTTTAGATGATGGAGACGGTGAATTTGTTGTCGATTCATCTTCTGATTTTAAGATAAACGTCGGTGTCGGAGTATTGGATTTGTTAACAGCTACTGTAAAAAAAATAAATAACGTAAGTGTAATTCAGTGATTAACTTATACTAAGATACCAAGTTCTTGCTTACCTGATTGTGAATTGTTAGCTTGCCAATGCTTCCGAACATTCGAACTATTTTTATTGAAGGTTCTTGTTGGTTTTGAATCGACAGATGTCTTTGATACACTTTCATAGAGCGATATCACGTTTTTAACATTTATTTTTGGAAGTTCATCACAAGATTTATGTTTGTCTAAATCATTTTCGGATTCTTTATTTGTCGCTTTGTTGAAGATATCCATTTCTGATTTACTAAAAGATTTACGACGTAGAACAGCATTTTTATATTTTTGGATTCTTTCATCTCGTCTGTTTAAATCTTTGATGCTGTTTTGAACATATGTGTTTTCTTTTTGCTGGGATGGAGTTTTGTTGAAGGATATTATTGACTTTTGGTAAGTGGTTTCATCGAAACTTTTATTGAATGTATGAGAAACAAGTCTATTTCGTTTTTCTTGCAATGAAATATTCTCAGATACATCCGCATCATTCGTTATCGAATCTGCATTGGTTTTGAATTCAATGTATTCAGTGTTACTTGTCGTTACATTTTGTCTTTTACTGTTATCTCTTTGTTCGAATATATTATGTAGGGATTTGCATTTTTTTCGATCCCACGGTAATTGTTCTGTGTGAGATATACTATGAAATAAAGATATACGACTAGAAACCAAACCAGTTTCATGACTAGCACCGGGAATCCCTGATGATGAATTTTCTTCGGTACTTGATTTTCCTAAAAATGTATCTATTTTACTTAAAATTTGTTTTCTAGACGTGCCAAAAAATCTCTTAGGACTGGTTTCAAATGCTTTGAATACCTCTTCAGGTAGTTCTTGTTTCACAGGTGTCGGCGATGAGTTCGATTCTATTTGTTTGTTTTCAGAAAATTCTTGATCGTTCATTTTATTTATATTTTTTTGTGAACTAGAATGTGTTTTACTTTCTAATGGTTGTGTTTTATGGTACGTCATGTCAGTTTCATTACTTTCCGATTCAAGTTTATCGTCCCAATATCTTTTCCATTTGTCAACAAGTTTGACTTCCTTTGGCGCGGGTTCTGATATCAAAGACTGACCATTTTTTTGTTCTAATGTGTTATCTTGACTATTAGTAGTGAGCTTTTGATCAACGTCGAGGGTGCTAAGAAAGTTTTTGACAATCTGTTTACCACGTCGTTTCGTCAGTGAGTCGTTATGTCGTAAGTGTTTTGAAGATATTCGTCTTTTCTTTTGCAAGGTCGTTGTTTCTTGGGATTTCGCTTCAATTTGGCGAATGCGATCATCCCAATATTTTTTCTTCTCAAGTACTATGTTCGATTTACTGTGGTCACCAAATTGTATGGTATTTATATTTTTATTATTATCAGTGTAGTCTTGGACTTGGTAAGGAAGGGGTTGACTTACTGAATCTGATTCAGTGACATTTACCTGAACCTCAGAAATCTTTCCTTCGAAATCGTTCGTGTGTCTTTTCACATCTGCTAATGTTTCAGATGCGGAATCGACAATATCGTTGGTTTTTACCATGTCGTCCACTTTCAAGACCTTAAACTGTTGTTTTTCGTTTGTGGTTAATTTATTTTCAGTTTCAGGGTTCGGAAAATAGTCTTGATAAATATTGTTTAGTTCAGCAAATGCCACTGATATCGGATCAGATTCCTTGAATTTTGACTGGGATATTTCAATTACAGATATATCTTTCATTTCAGATGAAATGCTTCGAACATTTTCTTCTAAGATTGGTGTAAAAATATGTTTTCGTGATTCCCAATTCAAATTCCTAGTATCTTCACAAGCCTTCAATCCATCGTTTAATTCATTACATGTCTGCCAAAGTTCTCTTTCAGCTGGACCCATATTTGACAAGTCCTCTTGTCTTAATTCAAAAGTAGCATCACTAATAGGAAACTTTTGTTTACCAAATATTTCACATGATTGTGAATTATCATTATTGTTAGTGTCGGGAGTACTATTATTTTCATCAATACTCACGTACGCTGAATCCCATATTTCTTTATTCGGCGTTTTATCTTCATTGGAGTGTATTGCTACGATTTGATATGATTCAAGCGTATTAGAATCAGATGCACTAAGATCTTCTGTATGTTCTTCCAAGTTGTAGTTCAAACTATGAGAGGTTGTCGTGTTAACACCATCTTTAGTGCTATTGTGTAATGGTGTTGAAAATAGTGAATTTGATTCTTCGGTTGACATATAATCGCTTATATCATTTGATACTTTAGCCTTTCCACCGACATTATTATTTTTAGTAATCTTTGAAAAGTCCAGGTTTGGTTCTGGAGTTGATGTTCTTATTATAGGCGGTAAAGATACTGGTGCCCCTATGATAAAATCAGTTATAGGTAGAGATTCATGTAGTTGGCTCGGTTGATGATGTTTATGTGTAAAAAATGGGTTAATAAATTCGTTTCCGAGCATTTCCTCATTGAGTTGTTCATTTCTTGGATCAACATAAACAGAATCGGCGCGATTTTTTATATCGCCAGTTATTATCTTTAAAACAGGGGTTTTTGGTCTTTCTAACTGTGTAATATCCTTGTCAATGAATGGATTGTTACTTTGAATGGGTGATGATGTGGCATTTTCTTCGATAAGAATCTTTATAGGTGACTCTGGAAATTCTTCGCTCTGGGCATTATTTGTTTCGTATTCGGTTGCTACATAACTACCCAAGTCCTTTTCTGTTTCATAATTTTGCATGTATGTATCGATCAAAAATGGATTACTAGGCGACGATGAAATAACCATTATTTCTTCTTCGCTAATATCACATAGATTAAAAATATTTTTTTCATCTTTCGTTTCTGTTAGATTATTATTAAAGTTGCTTTCTGGAGGCACGGATGGGTATTTGTTAATAATTAATGTTTTCTCTTCAGTATTTCCCGTTTCACATGACTTTTCATTTCGAAGTGATACATTAATATTTTCTGGAATAATATATTTACTACGCACATCAGATAAAACAAATGGATTCAATTTTGTGTCCGTCAGAGTTGAGTTTACTATATCTGGAATGTCTTGTTGATTTCGATGATAAGGGCTTACTTTTTCTTTCTTATGTTTTACTAAATAACGCGCATCCAAAAGTTCTTTTAATATGTTAGTCACTCGTTTAATCATTATCACTTTAATAACGGCGTTATAAAATTTATCGTTCTTATTTGGCTGTATAATTCGCACTTTGCTTGTTATTAATTTTTCCATTGTTTTTTCTTTAATGGATTCGGTTTCGTCATTGCTTTCAGAAGTCATTAAAATTTTTGCTTCATCATCACTAATCTTTTCCAATGAACCATTTTCTTTTAGTAACATTTTTTCGGTCACGAAATCAACAATTCTTAATACTATTTTTCTGTCTGTTTTTACATCAACAATATCGATTTCTTCTCCGTCCTCCAAACAAAAACTTTCTTTCTCCAAAACACTTAGTATATTTTTTGATCCGGTTACAGTAAAAGGCGATCCTACAATGCTTTGACCCCGACTTGTAATGGAAATATCATATTTGCCTTCAAGATTTACTATGTAACTGATTTTAGTATGATCAGTTTGTGGCTCAGCTTCGATTGTTATATCATATTTACTTTTTGGGATATGGTAAGTTTTATTCATGTCATTTTTACCGTAACTCCTTAAATACACAGCTCCTTGTGTAATCGGTAAAATATTTTCTGTGTAATTTGGTTTCGAATTTAGACCGAGCAATTTTTGCCGGATCAACTGAGCTTTGCCAAAAATAGGAGGAAGCACAGTCATACCATAAGTATCTTTGGGCCCTCTTATTAGAATTGTTATATCACCAGGGTCTAAACACTGTTGAGACGTTGGGTATATTTTGAAGTGCGCTTTGTTATTTATTTGGGCTGCTGTCAAACCCGAGCCTCTAGCAACATAATCTAGTGTGAACTGTGTGGTCTCAGGTGATGTTCTTTGAGATGCTGGCTTCGAAACGGGTGGTGTCAGTTTTGATAATGATTGACGAATCCGATCTAGGAACGTAGCTAGCTTCCATTCTTGGTGTTTGCTTAGTGAGTCGTTAGAATCCAGCTCCTGTCTGGAAAATACCTGAAATAGAAAACGAAAGTTTTTAGACACTTATATCTATATATTTTCTATTTATCAAGCAAGGTTTGAGTCCAATATTGGGGTACTAGAGGCTGGTGGATTTTTAAGCATCTTTCATTTAAAAAATTATCAGCATTTGGAATGCAAAATTGATCAAAAATAATGTTTTTTTTTTATCATAGCACAATTTTATTTCTATTGCCAGGTATCATTAATTACCTATACAAGGTGTAACTTTAAGGTCGGTCAGTATGGCAAAGACTGAAACTATAACACTCATATCTATGGTCGATAGAAGTAACTAGCTTTCGCCAGCGGCTTCGCCCGCGTGGACCCTAGGGAAATGTTTAGTGGGTTAAAAAGTATCTAAGTCAGCTAACACCCTATCTGTATACCAAATTTCATGAAAATCGGCGTGATTGATCGACAAACATCCAAACATCTAAACATCCAAACAAAGAAACTTTCACATTTATAATATTAAAACTTTCACATTTATAATATTAATAGGATTACTAGAGAAAACGTCATAACATAAGCACATATTTTGACAAATTTAAATGAAGGTAGAACTGTTGCTGTTCTAGCTATTGTCAGTTTTTACTTCATTAAAGTTTCTCGTATATTAGTTTAAAAAATTTGCTTAAGTTATGACATTTTCTCAAGTAATTACTTCACTCGACTATAGATACGATTGTTAGACACCGGAAGGTTTGTTTTTAGAGTCTCGGTATGTCATCGATTTCAATGACCAATAAACTGTACACATAAATAAAAAAAAATAAAAAAACTTGTTCTTAGTACGTGAATCGAACCCAGACGTTTTGAAAAATAAAACTTATATTATTTCTATTATAGAGTACTATACGACAAAGACAATTTTACGTACCAAAACGAGTTCTGCTTAAGGCCTACACAATCGATATAGTAGAATTATGTAAGTTTTATTTTTCAAAACGTTGTATCTAATTGTATGGGTCTAATTGTATAATTTTAAATCTCTTGCAATGTCTTTCAATTTGACATTTGAAAGAAATTCACGAACAACTGTTTCTCGTGTTATAGCGACTGCGATCGATTTGTTGAAAGACATCGAGTGCTTAAATTCAATTCAATTTTAATTTATATTATATTTAATTTATGTATTCGAGTTGAATGTCAATTGCAATATTTCGTTTAAATTCCATAAATCGCAATAAAAGGCATTGCGATACATTTGAAAATTAAACAATTCGTTCACGATTTCGAATCATGAACTGAGAATTACTTTTTTTTTATTTATGAATGCAGTTTTTCGTGTCACTAAAATCGATGCAATAGTTCCAAAGAAGAGATATTCGTTTGTTTTACGCGCAGTTTCACAAACGTCCGTAAAGTTGTCATTACTTTAAAGCGAGATGTTGTCAAATTATCAAATTTATAACACGTGTTAGAGTAGTATCAATGAAAAACCCTTAAAAATCCACTTTGTTACTCCTGAGATGGGACTCGAACCCTTGACCTTTCGCAATCCAGGCGACCGCTCTAACCACTGAGCTACCCTTACAATCTTCCGAGTACTTGTTACTTTTGCGGTACTACAGAGCGTATTTTCTTCAGTATCAAATATAACACGTATTAGAGCTTGAAGTTGCTTTTTTTCTGTCGTCATTAAAGTTTAATGAGCATGGATGCTTTATTTCACTATAACACATACATAAAAACACATGTAATTAGAAACATACATGCAAAAGGCGGCATTATTGCTAAGGCTGATGATGAACTTACCGGTTCAACACCAAGATAATGATCAGCGATGGCCTGAGCGTGCTTCAGCGAGAGTCTTGTTGGTGGGTGGCCGGCGCAGGCGCCTGGTAGAGCAGCGTCTAGTACCCCGCACACTATCCAGCCGTGCCGCCATACTGTTTCCAGGTGTTCCACTTGTACAGGTCCTACTTCCCCCAGCCATTGTAACACGGACTGCTTCTGTTCTTCGCTTGAGAAAACAACTGGAAATAAAAGGCATTTTGTTAAACGGGTTCGATGACGCAGAGACGTAATAAAATGAAACATATGCCATAATATCGTAATGATTTAGGCCGTATCTTAAAACGAGTTAATAGTTTATTCTGTATCATGTAGGCATAATCTATAATCTTTAACACTAACAGAGGACGATAAAATACTTTTTTTTCACACAATATTTAGCTATTATCGTAACCAAAAATATATACTCTTTTTTATAAGTTCGTACTCATTTTTTATCTCTTTAGAAATGAGAGAGTTAAGAGCTCGCAACCCTGGTGAGGTAGGGATGGTTTAAATGCCTCATTTTCATTGATCGGCCATTGGTTGTCCGTTCAACGATCAATGAAGTGAGCCCACAGAAATCGCAACATGAAAAAATTTGCGTTTGTTTTTATTTCTCCAATTAGTATTATGATTTATTATGTACAATAATTTTAATAAGTCATATTCATTTATTTCGAAAATTCTGCATCTGTAGACGAGATATCAAAAATTGCTCCGTTAATGCTCCGTTCAAATTAACTAAGAACCATGTCAAAGGCGAAAGAATGTCGCCGATTTCATCGCACTTAACTTTATAGCGGGGACCGTGACCGTGAAATGTTTCGTTTCTATACAGAGAACAGCTGATAACATCGTGGTAAGCAGTAACGGGGGCACTTTGACCATAGAGAATAGTGAGTTTACGATTTCGGGTCACGATAAAAATTATATGAACAAGGAATTTAATGCTCATAACCATAATCTCAATGTTATCAATACACATATCTGAGGCAAATACTGAGAAACACGGTATATAAGTCTTTGTTTTCATTCCATAGAACCAAATAGGACTGACGTGAAATATAACAGTTCCTATTTAAGGTCAGCTTTGCGTTCATAATACTCTGTTGATAAATATCTTCAAAGGAAATGCTGAAAATCCCAGCTCGTGGTGGTAACCTGGAACTGCCCTGCGATTTTGTAAAAATCCAGACCCGAATTCGAATTCACTCATGTGTCCGATTCACGTCATTTAGTGTAGAAATTCTCTAGATTCCAATTTTTATATAAAAATACAAAACAGAATTGATTGGATATACGTGTTTTAGAGATTTTATTATTTGATAAAGATGCTGACTTTTTTTTCATATCAATTTTATTCAATTTCAGTGACAATTTGTATTTTTTTGAATTATGTTGACATTTTTATATTTCTTTTTCAAATGACATGTATGACTTATAATATTTGCACGTCGTCCTGACGACAAAATATGCTGGGCATTTAAAAATTATTAACCATATTTCTCGCATCAAACGCTCAACGCATAAAACCATATTTCTGCAAATAAAGATTATTTCTGCAAATAATGATTTTTATTTTATTTATGTCTTTTCGAAACTCACTTCACTTATGCTACAAAACGTTATTAAAAATTTAAGGTTGAGCGGATGCCGCTTTAAGAAGTGAACTCGGACACCTGATGAATTCAAATTCGGGTTTGGATTTTACAGAATTGCAGGGCAGGAAAGATTTTTCTTCAAGAAATGACATTTATTATTTACCTTGTATAATTTAGTATATTCCTTGCGCAAAAAGAAAGGATTTTTTCCATACCCTTTAATTGTTAAAACATTTTTTTTTGATAATTATAATAATAATAATTTGCTCCGAAACTACGACCGGTTAAATTTGTAAAATAAATTGGATCATCTAATGCGTTATAAACAATGTATTTTTACATATTTAGGACAAATACCCAAGGTAAATCAAAAATTGAAAATTAGCTTTACAATCTACAACATGTAAGAAATCATTTTTTTTTCGAAAACCTTGCATATGGCTAGTTTTTATTTCATAACGATTTTTGTTTTTTTTTTATCGCTTAATAAATATATATGTTTATAGTTCATTTAATAGATTATTTATAATAATCTATTAAACTTTACTTACTATCTTCAAGTCGCGCCCGTTTGGTACAAGCTTTATTTATTTATTAAATTAGCTTACAATTTTGTATAACATATTACTATCTATAAATTTTAACAACAGAAATCATTTCACATTATTCAATTAATAATCCGTAATTTTAATATTGTGAATTATCTATTTATCATAGACAACGGAAATGTCCTAAGTATGGAACAAGAAGTTTACGAGTAGGTATTTATTGTTTGGAACGATTTTTTATTCTTATTTTTTATGGGCTTTTGAACTTTTGCGTTCATACCAGCTCAGAAAAAAGGTAAGTTATAATTATTTGAAATACTTCAAGCCATTATTTTCCTTTAAAGTCAGTGTATTATATTTTTGTCAAGTTAGTAAACAAAAACCAGTGCTCGGAATTTTGCAAAAGTAAAAAAAAGCGAGGTCGACTTAAGATATTTGTTTGCGCAAATAGGTAGTTATACCTAAGTACCTATTACTTGAGTTACTACCACTAGCTTGCTTATCCTGTCATAGTTAAAAAATAAGCAAATATAAATAATCTACCGGATGGATAGATAATAGTTATCATATAGGACAAAATAATAATTCATCAGACGTACAGGTTCATAAAGTTTTATTAGAGAATTTATAATTCAGAGAGTTGTCTAGAAATTGTATTGATGTATTGATTTTAGAGCTGGTCTGTTACGAAGTATATGATCACTTACTTGCTCTGAACGCGGAATCGATATGCTTGAGGAGTTTGAATAAGAAGCTCTGCTGGCCCCAGAACAGCGTCAGTAACGTCGCCGGTGCCAGATACCGCAGCGTTGTGAGGATGGCGTCGAGCGCCGCTGACCACATGCCTCCCTTCGTCTCCAACTCAGGATACTCCGGTATGGGGAACAATCCTGAAATAATACAAGGTCACCACTGAAGCACATCTATCTATACATAGTTTAAAATATAAAAGGTCGCTTCATAACACAGTGAGATCTTTAAACTCCAAAATTTTACATCGCAGTGATTCAAGAGGCATGTTTATATGTATAATACAGGACTACGCGGGCGAAACCACTAGCGGAAAGCTAGTACAATATACACCTATAGATTATGACGTCATAATGAGATTTCGTTCGTAGGTATGTCTGTCTTGAAATGTTTATTGATTCCAAAAGTGTAGGTATATTAATATTATGAAGAGAAAACATTTGATTGTTTGGACTCCAAATTACTGGACCGTTTTTAAATATTCTTTCACCTACGGGTAGATATTGTACGTGGGTGACATAGGCTATAATATACGTAACTGAAGTCGCAGGAAATTAGGAAGGTACTTTTTAAGAAGACATTTATATTTGGAGTAGCTCGGTGGCGTAGAGGATAAGCGCCGCGGCCCGCGATCGTTGTTGTTAAGCAACTTTCGCAAGGGTCGGTCACGGGATGGGTGACCAAAAAATTATTATCTCGAGCTACTTCGTGCTTCGGAAGGCACGTTAAGCCGTTGGTCCCGGCTGCATTTGCAGTCGTTAATAACCTCCAATCCGCATTGGACCAGCGTGGAGGGTCTTAGCCCATCCTTCTTAACCATTCATAAGGAAGGCCTGAGCCCCTGCAGTGGAGACGTAAAAGGGCTGATGATGATTATTTTTTTTTACGCACATTGAGTATTATTCTATAATAATATTATTTATTGCACGCTACAGGACATTGAAAAGTCATGAAATATGAACTATTACTAGTTTTCAAGGAGTGTCTTCACTTGTGCAACAAAACTATGTAAATACAATAATAAGTAGCTACATAATTATTTCTTGATGACTACTTTTATATACTTCTTTTACCTATTAGTAAAGATTTATCCAAAAATTGTTACAAGTGGACAAATTGTTGCAAGTCATTAGATTACCTTTATATATTATTTAATCGAACAATATTGTGTACTGTATCTAAATTGTTTCTTGGAGCTCGTTGAGTATAAAGAAAGAGTTTTGAAATTAATAAGTATACGTAAAAATTCCAGCTGCTCAAATAACGTGTAAAGAATAAAATTAATTATTTGAGATTGTCGTAGAGTTGAAATTTTACAGGTTATTTGTTTTAATTCGTCAGCTTCGATTGTTGTACCACTTTGACCGTAAACTTATAACAAAATAAGGTTTCAAATCAATTAGAGTGGTCTGAAAGTTTTCTATAACCTGAGTGCATTGTACCTTTGCATTGCACACGGCTGCAGGCTACAACAATATGGCTTTCCTCAATTAATTTTGAATCTAACTACAATGCATTAAGTTTTAAAATGGAGTGAAGAAATTTGACAATTCATACCAATATCTTGTGAATTTAATAGAGACACATGGAAATACTAACCAATGCTTCGTGGATATCCATGATAGTGAATTTTTTCATCATAAGCTTTTACCAGATCTTCAATGTTGTCGGACATATTGGTTTTATCACTGTCTTTTTTATCAGTTATAATTTTATAGAAGCCATCTTTCCCTATTATTAGAATTACAATACAAATTACATTCATACATTACGACCGAGGTTGTGGAAGTACTTTTGGTTAGACTTAGGTATAGTATTGATAAAAAATAGGCACGCCAAAAATTTGCTCAATTAGATAGATATAAAAATAGATAAAAAGGAAATAAAATACATACTACTAAATTTAATTGCTATTTAGAATTAAAACCTTTTTGTTTTCAATAGTATGTATAATGCTAATTTTGTCAAGTAGATATACCAATTTTAATATGTTTCTTATAACGTTATTCTGTAATCATAAAGAAATGTAATGAATACTCCTGTTTAATAGAATTTGTAGTTATTTATAGAATAAAAATTAATAATGAGTCTTGTTTTAATAAATTTAAGCTATAATATAATAGCAGCAGGTTAGGTACGCGGATCGCCAGATGGCGAGCTTGATTAATTTGATTGACTGACTTCGAAAAAGTTTTCCTTCTATATGTCTCCATGGAACTTCTTTTTATTTATAGGGGAAATGCTTTAATTTAGGCACTATCTCTGCCCCATAGCGAGCGACATCTATTAGTACAAACTTAATAATTATCATGAAAATCATTGAAGAAACAATTTATAATTATTTATATGATCCATATCCATCGCTTTTACACGTCTGCTTAGCGACCTCAAATAACCTTTGTTTGATAGACTAACTAGTAGAGTAATGTAATCGAGAAATTCCACATCTACCGCTTAAGAAAACCATCTTTTATATAGTATTAGATATCTTTCAAAACTTGCATGCGGGATGGCAGGCCCTATGACCTGTTTAGTTACCAAATGAAATACTGAAAATTGACGAATTTTATGAAATGAAGAAGATGAAAACGCCTTTTTGGAATGTAAATATGGTATAAAAATACACTACTGGAATCCTGAGATATGGTAACACAGCATTCTGCAACGCTTTTCATTCATATTGAACGTTACAATTTTATTTCATAAAATTGAGAGAACAACATTAAGAAGACGTTACTCTGGCTTCCATTATGAATTACAAAATATGTTGAACACAGAGTATTTAGTATTAGGCATTACAGTTACAAATACTTAGGTATTTGTTCTCATTGTTCTTAATATATTATATGATTCATATAAATTAAAAAAATATATTTGTTGATGAGACGCGCAACAAATAAAGTTAATATTCATATTGTAGATTCAGTATGTTCTTTGAAACTAAAAGATATCTTATTCTATTAAAAACACTCACCAATTTTGGATAATACTCGTGGAAAAGTTGCCGGCCAACTGTAAGTGATATGAAAACAACATCCCGATTATCTTAGAGATAAGCATTCGTTGTATAAACACTATAAAGCGCAATGATAAAAAGTGATACTGATAATAATAATGAATCATTTTATAATAATATCAGCTGGAAAGTCATTTTTGCGCATTTCAATTGCAATAGAATGGAATACTCTTAGAATAACATTGCATATTGCAGAAATGTTGTAGTTGTTTAAATTATTATTTCAATTGAAGTTTATTTTAATGTGTATGCACTGTTGATATATATTTTTGTTTTGACAATTTCATTATTAATTATTTTTGAAATTTTGTGATCATTATTATTTAACGGAGATACGATTGACATTAAACCATTAATTAAAATCTTTTTTTTTTATTGTAATGAAATGTGTTAATGTCAATTATTTGGACGTTACTGTACTTTAACAGGGTTCATGCTGTACCCTAACAAGATATTCTACACAAATACAGCATTGTGTAGAATATCTTGTATTATCATGATTGCAATAAAGAAGTGAATTAAATAGAAACAAATATATTAATTTTAACAAATAGTAGCTCGGTGGCGTAGTGGATTAGCGCCGCGGCCCGTGATCGTAGTCGTTAAGCAACTTTCGCAAGGGTCGGTCACGGGATGGGTGACCAAAAAAATTATTATCTCGAGCTACTCCGTGCTTCGGAAGGCACGTTAAGCCGTTGGTCCCTGCTGCATTTGCAGTCGTTAATACCCTCCAATTCGCATTGGGCCAGCGTGGAGGGTCATGGCCCATCCTCCTTAACCATCCATAAGGAAGGCCTGAGCCTCTGCAGTGGGGACGTAAAAGGGCTGATGATGATATAAATTTTGAAATACAAATCGCATGCCTTGTTTAATAACGATGTCAACCAGATAACCGTCTATGGAGATTTCATTAACAAGCATAATATCGTCTCCACAGATTAAAGATAGAATCGAATAAGGAAAATGCACAATGACCCACCACAAAGGTCAATGCGGATTAATGTTAACAACTGTAGATGACCGGGACGAACGGACGCTCCTTCCTAACCACGGAGGAGATCGAGATATTAGATTTTCGGTCACCCATCCTATGATCGACACATGCAAAAAGTGCTCGACTTACACATTGAAGTCTAAGAAATTAGATTTTCCGGAATTATACTTGAAATTCCACGCGAACGGAGGCAAGTCAAATTTTAATTTGATAAGTAGCATTTTTAATTGCAATTTTTAACTACAGAGGTTTTAATTAACATTTAATATAATACTAATTGTAGTCCTGAGAATTTTAAAGCTTGTCGTTCTCATTTTTATCAGTAGTACCGTTCATTCATCAAACATGTTTTTGATATATCTTTTTAACCTTGAGCGTGACTGTACAAGGCAAACAAAATATATAGCTCTAAAATTATTATGTTCTGTCCAACTTAGTTATCTATAGATATGTATCATCTACAGGTTGTGTGAACTAGATTTTTTTAAATAGGTTGAAAACCATCTATGCTTCCTATAGCATCTTAGAATTAATGTAATATTATTGAAATAAACAAAACTATATTTTACTAGCAACTACATCATCATAAAGCAACGCCTAATTTCTAAGGTACCGTCCCAATAGAAGGACACTATTACTAAGACACCGTCGTTCGTCCGTCTGTCACAATGCTGTATCACACACGTATCATATGTGATAGCTGGCCATTTGTAAATTTGACAGATTATATATTTAAAACAGAACAAAATAAATATGTGATCCATATAACACACGTGATTTTATCATCTATAAATATATGTTGTTTATGGTATGGATTTTTTTTATATACACTTTAAAATACACCTTTCGATTTCGAAATAATTTAGTCAAAATAATATGAAAATAACATACCTAATCATGAAATAAATCTAATAGTTAGAACATACTGTAAATATCAGCCAGTTCCATAAAGGTTTTTGCCAATAACTACTTGAAAAAGATTTAAGATAACGTCGGCGAATGAATGATTATTCTAAAAGAAATATCTTAAGAGATCATAAGCGTAACACGTGATGTTTCCTTACGAGTTATCATGAAGTTGTATAACTAGGTTCTCCATTTGTTAAATGTAGAAAGTAAGAAAATAGTTCCTTGATACTTAATACAAAATTTACAAAAAGTAGTATCAAAGTTTTCGATACGAACTGTATATCATATTATTAAATCAATCTGTAACTTATTACCTACTCCATAATGCAAATAAACAAACATGGAAATATAGAATTAACCTATAAGTTTGCTGCTTTTGTTAGGATTTAATAAATTGGAACCCTGAATAAGAGTCAATTTGCAGCCAAAGAAATTATGGAGCACTTTTGCAATAACCGAAATAGTTTACGTCAAATTCGTTTTTGCCGAGCAATACGCTATTGCCGGGCGTAATAAGTGAAATAAGGATAGGTTTTTTTTCAGGGATAATCTTTATATCCTCCTTCTTAATCAATATTGGTAGAATTTATTCTATCGCAAAATTAATATAACATTAAAAGCCTGTATTATATACGAAAATATTATATATTTTCCAGTACATTGTACTTTATGGGCCAACGTCCCAGACTTTTTATCGCACCATAGATAAAATAGAATAAAAAAATCATTTGTTCATAAATAAATTAAAATTCAGCGGCATATCTGGTTGGATTGGCAATACTATTGTCAGGTTACTATCATCATCAAATACCTTTAGAAACCTAAAAATATTACAAAGAATTATTAATACGTGTTGTTTAGGATGTCAAGCGCAACCTCTGGCCCTAAATTAATTAATTCTGATACTTTGTATACAAAGTAGACAACATATTGAACGGCCAATACTTAGATTATCGCATTCTTCATAAATATAAATAGTCCAATGTATTAGATCATCGATCGATATACGTATCTACAGCAACATTTGATTAACTACTCGCATTTGACAAGAATTAATAAATGTTTTTATCTTTAAAAATAATAAAAATATTGTAAAATTTAAATAAAAAAGTAAAAATAACATAAGTTGCGTAGTTAATTTGAATTATGAAATAAAATGGCGCGCGGTATTCTTTCTACTTTCCTTGATGTTCGCTTATCAAGACGTAACACACTTCAAAGGAAATCTTAACCACAACCACAGTTTATATATGAATGTAATATTTAAAACTACACATTTCAATTTTATTTTTAAAAACATTTGATCACTTTCACCACTCTATTATATTAAAAAGTAAAACGTAGAATATTATATTTGAAATTTATAAATCGAACACTCGATTTAAATCAAAACTATTTTCCGCAGTTTTTTTTCAATAGCTAGTGCAATATACTTTATATTTAAAAAAGGAACTTTTTTTTTAAAATTATAAGTACTTGCGATAAAGCCAACGGTATGTATCACACGCTAAGTCCACACTGAAACCTTGCTCTATGTAAATATTTTATCCTATCTTTGTTGCATGACTTTATCATGGTCTTGAACGTAATCAGATTATATCGCTTATAAGTAAGGAATATAGGTTTGTGTTAAAAGCGGACAGTTTTGTCCTAGATACGTGTATTAAATATTATAAACTAAATTGTTTAAATCTTGTTTTTTTTTTTCATAATTCTGTAGATTAATATCCACTGAAAAAAAACCCAGGAACGAAAGTGACACGACATGGTTATCTACATGCAGCATGCCGTTAATAAATGGCATTGGTATCATTGTTGACGTTTTTATGAATATAAATATCTTTTTCCTCTAATAGTGTAATAAATAATAGTAATGTATGCCACTGATCATAACAAAATAAAAATAAGTTTCTTGTTTCAAACTTAGTCGGGTTTTAGTTTTTGAAATATTTTTTTTATTTCATTAATTTCCGGGTGTATTTCAGCAAAATCGCAAGCAAAAGCAATCAATATATGTGCTAATTAAGCACTTTTATTTGATACCCTGCACGGTATTATTGAGTAATATATTTTTTAGTTTCTTACTTTATGCTCTCTAAAGGGGGGCGCTGTTGCCCATTTAATGTAATGTCATATAGGCTATAGCACGCTGACTCATATTGGTTTAGTCTTAAGGAATAATTTTGTATGTCAATTAGGATAGTTACCATAAGATAAAAGAAGACGCTTCTAATGATACCTCATTTGTCCAGTTATGATTAGTAGTTTCGAAGTTACATATATATAATAGAACATGAACATTCTTACATACAAACCGGCCAAAATAACCCTTTTTCATCACCAGCCCTTTTTTACGTCCCCACTGCAGGGGCTCAGGCCTTCCTTATGGATGGTTAAGGAGGATGGGCCATGACCCTCCACGCTGGCCCAATGCGGATTGGAGGGTATTAACGACTGCAAATGCAGCCGGGACCAACGGCTTAACGTGCCTTCCGAAGCACGGAGTAGCTCGAGATAATAATTTTTTGGTCACCCATCCCGTGACCGACCCTTGCGAAAGTTGCTTAACGACTACGATCGCGGGCCGCGGCGCTTATCGACTACGCCAACGAGATACAACCCTTTTTCGCTTCGCCATAATTGGATAAAAAGGCATGACAAAATAGGAAAATCAAACGAAATGTAAATATAATATTTCAATGCATTTATAAACGCATTGATTAGTTACAAATACAAAATCACAACTAACATAAACATTGTAGTATTTCAGTGTATGAATTTGTTGGTTATCGTTTAACTAATTTATCAACATGTTAATTGATTGATGGATGTTAATGGCATCTATTGCTGCTTCCTGATATACAATAACCACTGATTATTATTTAAAATATACAAAATGCAATAAAAATACTGTTTTTGTAATCAAATTGGCACGTTACTAGTTTTCTTAGCACTTATGCTTTCTAACAATTTGACTAAAAGTTATGTAAATTTGGTATGGACATGTGATTTTATATAAGGAGATGACGCGATTTGCATACAAATGACAAGTATACTCGTAGTTTAACCTACGGTTATTTTGTTTCGAGTATTTTTATAGTAATAAATTTTATGACTTTAGATATTCTACTTTGAATCTGAGCAATATATGTGATGTAGTTTCATTGCTCAGATTTCAAGATGAGTAGCTGAAGTCTTAATATTATGGACTTTCTGAGACAACGAAGGTAATATAACATCTAGATCCGAGATCACATAGAAAAGGTTGAACATTGACGATTTTTTCGGAAACAGCAGAATTGAAATAGACAAAGATAGTACAAACGTATAAAGATAGTAACTTTACTTCTTTATAACATTAGCATAGACAATAATTGCAATCAAGTATGTTTCACATACTGAGTACTTAGGAGTGCTTCTACTGTGGCTGGTTTACACGTAAATAAGTAGTTAACAAAATTTTAACTTCCTACTTATTATTTATTTGTGTGTTTACACGATGGTACTTAATCACTTGAAATTAAGTCAAAAATCTCAATAGTAACTGAAAATCTTAAATGGTTCTTAAGTCTCCTAATGTTAAAGCCTAATAATGGTGTTTCACTTAAGTGATTGCATTTTTAAAGTTCATATTAAAATAGTTTTATAAGTCTCCCTAGCCTTGTTTGTCT